TGCCCAAAGCAATTTACAGATTCAATGCTATTCCTATCAAACTGCCAATGACATTCTTCGCAGATTTATAAAAAGCTATTTTAAAATTCACATGGAACCAGAAAGGAGCTCGAATAGCTAAGGCAACCCTAAGCAAAGCTGGAGGCATCACCTTATCCAACTTCAAACTATATACTACAGGGCTACAGTAACCAAAACAGCATGATACTGGTACAAAAACAGACATATAGACCAATGGAACAGTAGAAGGAGCCCAGAAATAATGCCACACACCTGTAACCATTTGATCTTCAACAAAGTTGACAAAAACAAGCAATGGGGAAAGGACTCCCTACTCAATAAATGGAGCTAGAATAAATGGCTAGCTACATGGAGAAGATTGAAACTTGACCCCTCCCTTACGCCATTACAAAATCAACTCAAGATGGACTAAAGACTTATATATAAAAACTCAAACTGTAAAAACCCTGGAAGATAACCTAGGAAATGCCGTCCTGGACATAGGTCTTGGTGGAGATTTCATAATGAAGACACCAAAAGCAATTGCAACTAAAACAAAAATTGACAAATGGGATGTAATTAAAGAGCTTCTGTGCAGCAAAAGAAACTATCAACAGAGTAAACAGACAACCTACTGTGAGAAAATATTTGCAAACTGTACATCTGACAAAGGTCTAATATCCAGAACCTATAAGGAACTTGAACAAATTTACAAATAAAAAACAACCCCAACAAAAAGTAGGCAAAGGACATGAACAGACACTTTTCAAAAAAAGACATATATGCAGCCAAAAAACATATGAAAAATGCTTAACATCACTAACCATTAGAGAAATGCAAATCAAAACCATGAGATACCATCTCACATCATTAAGAATGGCTATTATTAAAAAGTCAAAAAATAATAGACGTTGGTGAGGTTGTGGAGAAAAGGCAATGCTTATGTAGTGCTGGTGGGAGTATAACTTAGTTCAGCCATTGTAGAAAGAAGTGTGGCAATTCCTCAGTGAACTTAAAACAGAATTACCACTTGATCCAGCAATCCCAAAGGAATATAAATCATTCTATCATAAAGACACATGCACGCATAAGTTCACTGCAGCCCATTCACAATAGTCAAGACATGTAGTCAACTTAAATGCCCATCAATGGTAGACAGGATAAAGAAAATGTGGTATATACATCATGGAATACTATGCAGCCATAAAAAGAATGTCATGTCCTTTGCAGCAACACAGATGGAAATGGAGGCCATTATCCTTAGCAAACTAACACAGGGACAGAAAACCAAACACCACCTGTTCTCACTTATAAGTGGGAGCTAAATAAGAACACATGGATACTAGGAGTGGAGGGTGAAAGGGGGAGGGGATCAGAAGAAACACCTATCAGTCACTATGCTTATTGCCCAAGTGATGAAATTATCTGTACACCGAACCCCTGTGACACACAGTTTACCTATATAACAAACCTGTACATGTACCCCTGAACCTAAAATAGAAGTTAAAAAAATAAAAAGAGATGAATTGAATGCTTAATTATCTGGCTAAGATAACAAGATGTATCAGCCTTGCCACGGAGACCAGATGTGGTGTAGCAAAAAATATATTTGGTCTTTGTTCCTGGTTCCTGGCAGAGAACTCCTAAAACTCTTGTAATTTACTAAGGGATCTGAGTGTCTTTTTTTACTCATGCTAATGAGATGACTCATTTCTGGGACGCGGGATGGGTACTAGATAGCTTCTGGGTAGGGGTTGATCACCAGAAGAACCAACCCTGTGATTAGAGGATTGGAACTTTTACCCTCATCCCCTGACTTCTGGGAAAGAAAAGTGACTGGGGATTGAGTTCAATCATATAGCCAATGATTCAATCAATAATGCCTACATAACAGAAGCCCATGTAAAAACCCTGGAGCAACAAGGTTTAGAGAACTTCCAGGCTGGTGAACACATCCCTGTGCTGGGAGGGGCATGTGTCTAGAGAGGTGTGGAAGCTCTGTGTCCCTGCCCTATACATCTCCATTTGGCTATTCCTGACTTGCATCCTTTATAAGAAAACTGCAATCATAAGTGCAGTATAGCCCTTTCAGGAGTTCTGCAGTCATTCCAGCAAATTACCAAACACCCCTGTCTTGGCACTCCTCCTCAAATCTGTAGCCATGTCAGACAGAAGTGTGGGTAGTGTGGGTAGCCTGGGGACCTGGGACTTGTGCTTGGCATCTGTAGTGGGGACAGGCTTGTGGGAACTGAGCCCCTTAACTTGTGGGGTCTGCATTAACTCCAGTTAGCTAGTGTCAAATTGAATCGTAGGACCCTTGGTCAAATAATTATTGTGGGAAACTACCAGGTTACTAAAAGGGTTTGTTCAAAGGCCTTTCCACTTTGAATAGGCCCAACCAATGTTACTCCAGTTGCTCTTATCTGAGCTTCCTGGCTGATTTTTTTTTTTTTTTTTTTTTTTTTTTTTGAGGTCTCACTATGTTGCCCAGGCTGGTCTTGAACTCCTGGACTCAAGCAATCTGCCCACCTCAACATCTGCCTGCCTTGGCCTCCGTGCTGGGATTACAGGTGTAAGCCACCACACCCAGCCTGTTTTTATTTTTATTATAATTATTTTTTGAGACAGGTTCTTGCTGTGTCACCCAGCCTGGAATACAGTGGCATGATCATAGCTCACTGTAACCTCAAACTCTTGGGCTTAAACAACCCTTCTGCCTCAACCTCCTGAGTAGTTGGGACTACAGGTGTGGGCCACCATGCCCAGCCATTTTTGCATTTTTTGTAGAGATAAGATCTTGCTATGTTGCCCAGGCTGATGATAAACTCCTGGGCTCAGGCAATCCTCCTGCCTTGGCCTCCCAAAGTGCTGGGATTATAGGCATGAGCCACCGCACCCAGCCCCACTTCCATTTTTTTGTGGTTACACATTCCTTCTACACACATATCAATATGTTCACATGTTCAAGTCTTGCAGGCTTGGGAGCCATTCTTTGCATGTGTCTGCTCCTGTCCATTCTGTTTTGATGACACAGCTTAACTTTAGCCTGACGTATTGATAGCTCAGTCTTTGTTTATCTTTGGGCCTTGGCATCCCTGCCCTTTTTTGGAGTTGTGACTAGAAGTCCTCAAATGCTTCCTAACTTGTTGTACAAACCTCACATGTATCTTTATATTTTACATCTCTGGACTGCAGAGGTGTGACTGTCCAGCGTCACCATGATTTCATACTATCTGGAATTTAAAGAGTAACCTGCTTCTCCAGTGTCTGATTCAGCTAGTTCAAATGTCTGCAGTATTTTCTTTCATTCTCACCCACTGAGACACCAAGACTGTTGGAGATCCAACCCATAAGCAGAGGGGGCTGATAAATAACAGCTGAATTACATGAAACTCCTACCTGCCAAAAACACCTCTCAACTGCATGTTATAAGCTATGGTGTAAAATTCCTTTCTTGTAAAAGACAAAACAAAAACTCCAGAGAGCCATAAAGTTGCTCAAATTCTGACTCTGAAATTCCACTTCCAGACCTAAGGAAATAATCAGGGATACAAAGAATTATGTAAAAGTTATAAATGGTAATATTATTTATGAAGTGAAAAGTAGAAATAATCTAAATATCTAACAAAGAACAATATTATGTTTAAATTATATGATATGCAGTGATTTAAAATGTTTCTGAAGCAATTTAAAGACATTCAAGGTCTCATAGCATCATGCTAAATGGACACGGTAGAATGTCAACCCTATGCATTAAGGATCTAGATAAGGTTAAAACACATATATTAAATGCATCAAAAAAGACCTGAAGAAAATGTCAAAACCATCAACAGAAATTTCCATTCATTCATTCATCCACTCACTCACTTACTTACTTACTTATTAAGACAGAGTTTCTCTCTTGTTGCCCAGGCTGGAGTGCAGTGGTGCAATCTCAGCTCACTGCAATCTCCATCTCCTGGGTTCAAGTGATTCTTGTGCCTCAGCCTCCCAAGTACCTGGGATTACAGGTGCCCACTACCATGCCCGGCTAATTTTTATATTTTTTAGTAGAGATGGGTTTCACCATGTTGGCCATGCTGGATTTGAACTCCCGATCTCAGGTGATCTGCCTACCTCAGCCTCCCAAAGTGCTGGGAATACGGGTGTGAGTCACTGTACTTGGCCCAGAAGTTTTCATTAAAGTTAAATTATGACTAACTTATTTTCCCAAGTTTTAAAAGTGAGCATATATTACTTTTGTAATCAGAATTTAATAGTTTTCTAAAAATACTCTCTAGCCCACAGCCCTGCTTGATGTCTTTTGAGTGACTCTAAGGAAAGTAGCCTTTTCTATTTTGGCTCTATCCATCTTCCCATTTTCAATGATCACTATCTCCCACATACTGCTTTTTTTCTTTTCTTTTTTCTTTTGAGACACAGTTTCACTCTATCGTCCAAGTTGGAGTGCGGTGGTGCAATCTTGGCTCACTGCAACCTCTGCCTCCAGGGTTCAAGTGATTCTCCTGCCTCAGCCTCCCACGTAGCTGAGACTGCAGGCGCCTATCACCACACCTGACCAAATTTTGTATTTTTAGTAGAAACAGGGTTTCAACATGTTGGCCAGGCTGGTCTTGAACTCCTGACCTTGAGTGATCCAAGCGCCTCAGCCTCCCAAAGTGTTGGGACCTAGAGAACAGTGTACTCAACTAAGTAGTCATTATTGTCATGATATAGGACCATGTTAGTCCAATCTGGCTGAACCAGAATTAAATTTGAATTCCCTAGGCTGTCCTTTGGCAAGTAGTCTAAGGTGTTACCTGTATACTGACCAGGCTGGCCTGAGGTTGCTGTTAGGGAAAAAAAGATGCTCATGTCTAGTAATAGGCTAGAATCTTTAATTTTCAAAATAGGTTCTATAGCTCTCAACCCTTATACCTTGACTAGTGGTCCATTGTTGAATGGCCTTTGCAATCCCTTCTCCCAAGTCTCACAGAGGTGACGTGGGCCAGATAGATGTCACACATGCAGGGAGTTGCATTACAGGAGGGGAACACTGAGCTCAGGGACTCCACTGCTTTTATAGCAAACAGTAAGCAAGCTTGCTCTTTGTCCTCAAGGGAGACATCCTTTCATCTTTCAAGGTTGCTTGCTGCAACGTAACTCTGAGAAATGTCCTGGATAAAGAGTGGTGAGAGCCTTGCATTCTTGGCATACTTGGCAAGGCATGTAAAGTACACACCTTGTGTAAAATAGCCTCAAGGAAAGGAGACTTCCAATAGATATGCTCCATGAAATGATCAGTGCTCTCATGTTCCATGCCAATGACCAACACTAATAAAAAAAAAAACAGGTGATCAAGTAATTCCAATGAAAGAAGAGGATCTCTTGAAGTAATAAAAATTGCTCTCTGAATTCATTCTTCTCTTTTAGTACTTTCCATTTAGTGTTTTTCAACCATAAAATGTTATTTTTTTCTTTAGGCTCTCCAATTTTCTTCTAAAATAATAAAAGTGTCTTTCACAAGCCTCTGATGACTTAATTTCCTTTTTTTCTTAGGTAGTCTCCTGAAAGCAAACATAGCATGGTTATTATTTATCAGCAGCAAATTATCACTACAAATGATTGATTCATCCATTTATTATTCTACAAACATTGTCAGATAACTACCATGTGCTAGGCACTGTGCTAGGTACTGGAGATACAAGGGTGACTGGAGAGTTAAAACACAGTTCCTGCCCTCATGGAGTCCACTGTCCAGTAGGGGAGATAGGTACATATAAACATCAATTCTATTTCATGGTAATAACTGACACAGTAGAGATATTTTAGCTGTCCTGGAGTGTGAATTGGTTTTCCATGCAGAAAAAGGATGAATAATGCATATAGTCGGGCAAAGGGAGCAGGATGAGAGAGGGATCAAGAGCATAAAAGAACCTGCTTCTCTCCTCTTCTATATGTATTCTATGATCTAGACTTAAAACTGATTACAGCACTTGATGTATTTACTTTTTAAAGATGGGGTCTCATTATGTTGCCCACACTGGACTCAAACTCCTGGGCTCAATCAATCCTCCTGCCTCAGCCTCTTGAGTAGCTGGGGCTACAGGTGTACTCCACTATGCTGGATAGCACTTTTTTTTTTTTTTCTGACGTGGAGTCTTGCTCTTTCACCCAGGCTGGAATGCAGTGGTGTCATCTCGGCTCACTGCAACCTCCGCCTCCTGGGTTCAAGCAATTCTCCTGCCTCAGCCTCCTGAGTACCTGGGATTGCAGGCACCTGCCATCACACCCAGCTAATTTTTTTATTTTTAATAGAAATGAGGTTTCATCATGTTAGCCAAGCTGGTCTTGGACTCCTGACCTCGTGATCAGCCTGCCTTGGCCTCCCAAAGTGCTGGGATTACAGGTGTGAACCACTGTGCCTGGCCAGCACTAAAGAAACATTGAAAGCTGCTGCTTCATTCTCAAAAATTCCACTCTTCTTCTTAAATTGAGTGCCGAATATTACTTAACTGGCCTTTCTCTACTGCAATCATGACAGATGCAACTGATAGAAGAATATGGAGGAAGAATATCCCTTCCCAGAGCAGTGGGATATTAAGTGACAAAAGTAGTTGACTCCTGAAAAGTTAACTTCAAGGCAAATTCTGTAAAATTAATCATATTTTCCCACTCATCTATGTTAGAAATTTGACAATAAATGCCAGGTGAATTCTCATGAGAATAAACAGAATATCAAAACCATGAATCATCTACCTCTAATGCCATATCAATAATATATCAAAACACAAAGCCAATAGTTCTTTAAGCATATAGATTCAGTTACAGAGTGAGGCAGGGCTTGAATGAAGAAACTAGGAAACCTGGTTGATTTCCAAAAAGTCTATGTCCCAACCTGAAACTTCCCAACTTTAGTTTATAGAGAGGTCATAAGGAATTTGAGGAAAAAAAATTAATAATTCAATAATAATGCTATAAATAAGTCGCAATATATGCTTAAGATTCTTTTATTAAACTGAGGACTTGGCTGGATGCGGTGGCTCATGCCTGTAATCCCAGCACTTTGGGAGGCTGAGGCAGGCAGATCACTTGAAGTCAGGAGTTCAAGACAAACCTGGCCAACATGGTGAAACTCCATTTTTACTAAAAATACAAAA